CGTATTATCAGACAGCCGAAACAACCGCCTGGAGCTGAGCATAGTCACATGGCCGCTGATTGTAGCCGAAGCAGACAACGTATGCAGCTTCTTTGACGATTCAAAAGATACACGCGACAATATTAATTTTAATGATATAAGTGTTGAATTTGGAGTGCTATATGGTGAAAAAGTAATTAAATTGATTAGCAATGATATATGTATGTGCATGATGAAAAAAACATTTTAGAAAATGGTAATTTTAAATGATTGTATAGTTGAAATGCATAATGCATTATATGATAAACTGTATTCGGTGGAACAAAAATTTAAAGAGTTTGTTGCATTAGTTCGGGGATACGGAGATGTAAAAGTGCTTGCAGAGGTTGTGCAGCATATCAAAGAAACTGATATTTATGATCCAAATTCAACTATTGATTGCGAATTAGTAGCTTTAGGTATTCAGGCAATAATAACAGCTGCATCAGCAGCATCTTAACAGAGAAAAAAGGATTATGTTACAAATTATGTTAGAAATTATACTTTAATAAATCATAATGTATTGCATCATTTACAACTTTTCTCTCTACCTATATAAACCCAAACATCCCAGGAAAAAATTTCACTTCCTATACGATAGTCGTACGATGTGCATATGCACATTTGATCTTCGAATTAGCACAAAAAGAATTCGCACCAGATTGGAAAACACTTTTGTCTGCGCGCGTTGCTGGAATATTGTTAGCCAAAGAGTTAGCCAAAGAAGAAAGTAATGGCACCGCGGAAAAGTAACAAGAAGAAGAAGACGAAATTGCGCAAACTTCCAGTTGCAAAACGTGGGGGATTTCTTCCAGCACTTGTACCTATTTTTGCAGGCCTTTCAGCTTTGGGCACGGTGGCCGGCGGTGCAGCAGGTATCGCCAAGGCAGTCAACGATGCATCTGCAGCACGGAAAACACTGGAGCAAGTGAAACGGCACAATCGTGTTATGGAAGGACATGGACTTTACCTTGCACCATATAAACGGGGAAAAGGAATTAAAGAAAAAAAAAAAAGAAGCGCTTCGGCAAGTTGTAACGCTTCCACAGGACGCAATGACAAATGTACAGTTATATAACTTTGCATGAAAGTTGAACTTTCCATATTTTCGAGGCGTTTTCATGCGTACAAATTTGCCCTCTAAATCGTTCTTAAACGAATGCGGTATCGTGAATTTAGATAAATCGGAAGGTCCTGGTACACACTGGGTAGCTTACGTAAAGCGAGGTAATTGTGTTAAATATTTCGATTCTTTTGGAAATCTGAGGCCACCGACAGAGTTAATAAACTACTTCGGAAACCATGTAACGATTTTATACAATCACGCGCAGTATCAAAAATTCAATACGAGTGTATGCGGACAACTCTGCTTGCATTTTTTAGCTGGAAATGTATAAAATAGTTTCGATGCACATAGTCTTCACAGTTGCAAAGATGTCGTTGACGTTTACGTTAAGCGGAAAAAATTCTGTGGTTAGCACTGATTACTTTCCACCTATAGACTTGAAGGATGATAATTACGAACTCGGACTCGTTGATTTTCAAGCTTTCAACACAATACCGAACGTTGACTTTACAAATAATAAATTTTACTTTTATGCCGATGGTGAGATCACGATACCGGATGGTTCGTACTGTTACGTCGCGAGCGAGAGAGAGACGGCGCGCGACGTACAAAATAAAAAAAAAAAAACGAAAACGATAACGAAAGTTTTACTATGTTTTATTATGTTGGCTGATACGCGGTTGAGAACGGTATTAGCGCTGCCACCAGTCCTAATCGCTCGAGACGATGTTAGATCCTTCGCGATTAGAACAATAAAAGAGTTGATAGATAGATTAATAGTTAATTAAGAATTTAATTGGGTTCGTCAATGCTCTAGTCCCATACGGGCCCCTCGTGTGAATTTGTACGAAGATGGTAGGCGTGAAAATGAAGGAAAAAGGAAGTGGTTTGAAACGTAAATGAATCGAAACAGTTTAGGCGTAACAAAAATATAATCTCAAAAAAAGTAAACGTGACAATAAATGGTTGATTAACAGAAAATGCGAGCTGTTTGAAATACAAGGGAAAATAAATGCATTGTTAAGAAAGGTTTAGATTATATGAAAGTGAGACTATTGATTATGGAATAATTAATGTTTGATTAAACGATTCGACGATTCGAGCGACGATGTCGTATACAGAACTGAACGCGAACAAAAAGAAAGAACGGTCCCAGAGGGTAAACTACCAGAATCACAGTTTCGTGGGGCCGCCTTCTTTTGTGTGAGAAACGGAATTTTCCAAATATATTAGATATTCGATACCTTATGTCTCTATTGTGAACGGAACGATCTAGAGGGAAACTTTCCAGAATACGCGGTTTCGTAGATCGCCCGTTTTGCCTCGCTACGTCCAGATTCGTCGTATTAGGTAAAAGGAAATGGACAACTTACCAGGAAACAAGATGAAATGATATTTAATAATAGCTTTGATAAACGCTTTCTTTGCTGGTATCGTTGAAAAATCTGGAAATCAAAGAAGACGATGAGGAAAACTGCCACTGCACTACGCGTTCGCGATCGGCCTTTATTACGGTATTACGGAACGATTAATTACGAAACGAGCACAAAAGTATTATAAAGACGACGCGACGCGAAAGGAAAAAAGGAAAATAATAATTAATTTAGCGGACGGTATAAAAACAAAAGAGAAAAGATAGATCATTGAAAAGTGTGAAAAGAATTTAACGTATTCATATGAGTCCTTTACGCGGAAAACGCGAACCGCAATCTCCCGGCACTCTGCCTTTTTCAAGGACTTTACCGGTCAGCTAATTACGACAATTTCACGCGAAAACTATTGCTCGACGCGAACACGGGCTCCCCGTCACGTACCTCACGATTTTTCGACGAAGAGTGATTTGCCTCAGTCTAGTGATCGTGTCTCAGGGTTCGACCCGCGATCAAGGGCCCAAAGTGGGGACATCATTTGGCAAATCGGGGTACGTGACGGAGGGGAAATCCCGCGCGTATTGGGCTAGTTGGCCGCTCTTCCTACTTCCCTCATCCCTTCCTGGTTTTTCCTTCTACCTTCGTCTAAGGTTGTCCATTTCTTTCTACCCCTCTAACGCTACAACGGATTTCATGCGTCGCAATTCTAAAGTTCTGGAATATTCGAAATCTGTTACGACTTAATTAATTTAAGAGGCTTTTATCATGATATTTCCGGTATCGAAAGAGGTCTTCATTTTATTAAAAATATTTGGTTTACTAGTTTGAATGACCATTAGTTGAATGTCGTTAGTTATTATTCATGCGTTAATTGTACTGTTAATTTTGTTGTTTAGCGGTTTACGCGAGATGCAGCCGGTGTTTTATAATCGTCGACAATTGTGGATACATGCGTGTCGCATTTAGTTAATATTCATTTCGCTCTTATTAGTTATTAACATTCTTATTCGTATCTCGACGATTCACGTATAATCGAACGTTCTACGTTTAACGTTTAACGACGATGTTTATAGACTCGGTCGACCTTTGTCTCGAACATTCGTGAACGATTTCGAACTACAGCGGTTGTCACGCAAACCCTCGCATTCTAATATCATCCAAATAGTTTCATTCCGTTAGATTTCAATTGCTTTCGTTCTTAATTGCATTCATTTTTGGTGGAAGGGTCGGCTGACGCATGCTTTGCAGGTATGAGAGGTACCTAGCTAATAAAATAGAAGAAAATTCTTCTCTATGTTGCAAGGGCACAGACTCCTCCGAGGCCTCCTCCGAATCGATGTAAGCGCCATTATAAAGAATCGGGCAATCGTGAAAACATATAATTGATAAATGTGACATTTGACGGTGTGACATCTAACGTCATTATGTAGAATAAGAAACGAAAGTGAGGTGGCGTAGTTGTCGAATCACATCATTTGAGAGTTCTGTCGCGGTGTTGCCACATCTGTGACAATCCTGACCATCTAGCAAAATGAATTCGCTCGAGCCGAGCGAGATTTTGATTCCAGGCGGACATAGAAAAGGACAGCGCCATAGAAAGAGAAGGAGTATGATGAATCAAACAACGTAGTACCGATCGGCGGAAATACATATGTTCGAGTCACACGCCACGACAGATTCGATGAGACTGTAATACACATAATGTACGCGACTATAAAACTTATACGAATAAAAACTACATGGCATTAATAATTTCAGAAAGGGAATGGAAAATAAACAGATGTATGTAAATTGATCTATATATACAATATGTATTTATTGAAATATTATCAATATATATAAACAATAATTGGCCGCCCGCCGCCCGCTTCGACCTCTTCTTTCTCCGCGGCGTCTGCATCGTCGATTACCATGACAGCCATCCCAGTCATGTGGTATTGAATTTGTTTTATCTGAAACATAATAATGAATGTTTTATAAGAAGAAACAGCAATCATGGAAATTCAGTGGCTACTGTTGTAGACATAATTTCCATTTCACGAAAAATCTAATTCTGCTACATTTATTACATAGAAGAATCAACGCTTTTACTTACTTGCGACGTTGACGGCCTCGGATTCTCCTTTCTCTTCCCTCTTATCCGACTTCGTTCCTTAGACCTCTTTCTCCTGTTTCTTCTATCCTCTTTCTTTTCTTCTTCTTCTTCCTCGTCCATCTGTGAAGAAAGTAATTTATGTATAGATAACATAATATTAATTATGTAAGATTATACTTGCCGATTATACGTGATCAGACAGCATATTTGCAGTCCATTTGTCCTGGTAGGTAATGCTTTCTTGAATAGACCTATATATAATTTTTTAATTTATTTCGAGAAGAGGAAAATGCTGTTTTTAATTTCTGAACGACAAAAATGTTCATGCAAAGATGAAGATGAATGATGATAAATATTGAAAAAAGAAAAAGTTAATTGAAAAGATGATATAAGACATTAATAATTTCATGAAGGGAATAAGAAAAAAATTGTTTCAGCTCAAAAAATTAATTTAGAGTCCTACGCTCGCTTCGCTCCAAAAAACCTCTTCTCGGGAATCCTTTCTTCGAAAATCTGTAACAAATTTTAATAAATATAATACGGCATCGCGTAACTCACGAGATCGTATGATCCGCGAGTACAATTGCTATTTCATGCAATTGTGAACCACCAACAGAGTCAGTGATACTACACTTTACAGTGCAGTGCGACGCCGGACAGTAACAGTATTTTTGCGTCGAGCAACTCACGAGATCGTATGATCCGCGAGTACAATTGCTATTTCATGCAATTGTGAACCACCAACAGAGTCAGTGATACTACACTTTACAGTGCAGTGCGACGCCGGACAGTAACAGTATTTTTTATTACTGTCCGCATAAGACCTTTTTTGACTTTTCAAAAGTCACTATTTTGAAATGTGTATATTGGCGTCGAGCAACTCGCGAGATCGTATGATCCGCGAGTACAATTGCTATTTCATGCAATTGTGAACCACCAACAGAGTCAGTGTTACTGCACTTTACAGTGCAGTGCGACGCCGGACAGTAGCAATATTCGTGCAACTTTCTGAGAGGGACCTTTTGCGCTTTTCCAAGCTTGCTCTCTCCTCTGTTATAAATTGAGGCTCCCGAATGGGCATTCCCCTATTGTACCGGCTATCTATTAATTCCGGTAACATGCATAATAAATAAAATTGAATTAATTTTGGCTCCATATTCTTTTGCCAAAAATTATCGTCTCTATCGACTCTAATGTACTTTAACCCTTTTCGGGTCCAAATACAAAATAAGCAATATTTTCTACCTGTGACATGTAGTTGTCCTTGTACTTGGTAGTAATAGTAGTGGTTCCTGTTCAATTCATTTCCTTCTGCGTCTGCAAATATACGCCGAATAGCTGCAACAGTTTTGATTGCCTCCTCCGGCAATAAATTCTCCGCCGTTTTCGGACATTTGATTTCCACAATGCCCTCTTCGTCTATAAGTCCATCTGGCGAAGCTCCTAAGAACGGGATGGCACTATCAATAAATAATCCACATTCTTTAATTTCAACACCAATGCACACACTTAGTTGTTCACGTGCGAATTTTTCGCATTCCTGTCCATATTGTACTGCAGGTGCACTAATCAGTCGTGGATACACTAACGACTTCACTGAATTTCCACAGAGCGTGCCAATTCGACGACGGCATATTCGTCCGAAATTTGAGGCCGTCAATAATTTAGATTTGTAATTCAACCATCTCGGATTTTTCGCTTGACCGATGGTTTCTTCTTCAATGGCATCTCTTCTATTTTGCCAATTCTGTAACATTTCCATATGTTTTTTTTTCTCTAATTCATAAATATTGTTAGCCATATCCGGCTTTTCAGCATTTGGTCCGTAATTGGAATCCTTTTCAGAACGGAATTGTTTCCGCACGTGCTTTGTAATTTTTTTTTCCTTTCTCTTTTCACTGTATTTCTCATTTTCTTTCTTCCTTCTATTTTCTATTTTGCGTAAAATAACGGGCGGTTCCTTGTTCATCGCCGTATTCAGACGCGACAACACTTGTTTTGTGTTATACTGTAGGACAGCAGCAGCACATCTTCCCGTGTAAGATCCCCTCTCGCCGAAATTCAATCATTTTCCTCCTGTATATTTTGCGACGATTCCATTGAAACTTTCGACGGCATTATTGTTGCTGTTATACAGCAAACTCTCAGCATGCGCCAACAGAGGTCGAAGTATTTCTTTGATTTGTTCATACACTCCCATCTTCATCAATTCGGGAACAATGTTCTTTTCATCTTTTTTACTCGTTCCATCGCAGAAGTATTGTAGTTTTGAACAATCTGCATGTTCACCAAAAACATGGCTAGGAACATTGTGTATGTCGGCATACAAATTCTTAATTTTTTCAGCGGTTGTTACTTGCTGACTGTATCTGTACTCTGCGGCTTTTACTATATCCGCACGCATTCGCCGAATGCTGCTTTCAACGATTCTTCTGAATGGACCAGGTGTTGTCATCTTTACAACTTCTTTCATTTTTCTGCAAAAGTTTCGCAATAAATGATTCGTGCATTCAATCTTTTTTACACGAATCTGTGCTTTATATGGATCTGCGTCTATAATTTTTTTATAAACGCTGCTGTCCCCATCAGCAATCAGTGTTGAATAAATCAGCCCACGTTTTTCTACGCTGGTCTTGAAGCCTTCGACTATAGCGTCACTTTCCATAGCCGTTGATGCTTGGCTTGCGCTCCAATTTTTAAAACAGGTGTGCTTTCGTGGCTCTTCTTTCTTTCTCGCAGCACATCGACAAATCCTGCACACCTTGTTTCTCACACCGATAAATAAAACTTTCTTCGTGTGATATCCAATTATAACGCCGACTCCAGACGCGGAATTGTACGTTCCAATCCGGTATGATCGTTTCATCCAGCTTCCATCGGCCACAACGGGAATGTGAGGGATTCCACATCCGGAAACAATATCGCCTCTTTCAATGGCCAAGCGTTTTTCTTCCTCTGCCGCTGTTACCATCTCTTCTTCTGCAGCAACAATTAGTGCTTTCACGATTTTATCGTGATGCTTTCTAAATTCTTTCTTCGACATGGAGGGTATGTTCATCGCTGCAAGGAACTCCTCCATTTGGGCATAACTGCCTCCATTCACAATTGTTCCAGCAACTGCACACTGGTTTGTTTCCATTTTATTGCTTTCGTCAGGTTCACTGTGGATTTCACCTTTATATTTGCACATATCGCATATTACACTGAGGATGGTCCTCAGGCCCGACCGTTTCATGCCGGTTATTTTCAGGTGTCTAATTCCACAGTCTTCCCTGTTTTTAGCATGGTCACCTATTTTCTGAAATTCAGCAAAGATGTGCTGCATGTCCACGATATTGAAGCCATTTGGTATACAGAATTGTTCTTCAGGCTCGTTCGTTACAACTTTCTGTATCATCAGTTCTTCATTTTCTGAATTTGTGCCTTCCATATTTATCCCATCTTCAGCATTGTTTGTTTCTTCAATTTCAAACAATTCATTCGTCGTTTCTTCAAAAATTTCTGTCGAATTTGCCGTTTCTGTTTCGTCATCCAATGGCAAATAAATTTTCTCGGGGGTGTACCTTTGTCCATCGGATGTTGATTGTACGGAACTTTTCTGAAGGGCTAACCGCCGCCTTCTTTCGCGGCATGCTGTTTTTTTCGAATATCTTTTCGTACTGATTGTATATTTTGGCCGACGACTTCTATTATCCGCCACACACTGATGTTCAGATTCATTTCTCCTATCTTCAATCACTTCAATCATGAGAACATTTTCACTATCACTCATTGTCACTATCACACCACAATATTCACCTCTCGCTTTGATCACTTCACACTTTCGAAGCTTTGAAATAAATTCAATGATGCTATCTATTTCTTGCTTCGAATGCAACTGTCGCGAAAACGTAAAATGCAGTACGGAGAAACATAGGGCACCATGGTGGGAAGTGTTTCTAAGGACTACGAAAAATAAAGAACAATGACCAAAAAAACTTTTGAAGTTGTATTCATTTATAATATTATGAATTTAAATTATAAAACAAAAATATAACATGAAAATAAAAATGTAATCCGTGAAATAAAAAATTAGAAAATAGGAAAAGGTCTATTTTATAAAACAGTGAACACGGTCCTGATCCCCACCACCATTCGAGTGGTTTCAGCATCAACGACAAAAGACAATCAAAGAAAGCAAGATGTCAGACCACGAGGTGCGTATAATCGGCCAGTAAAATATTATATCATTAATATTACGTTATTTATATATAAATTACTTTCTTTACAGATGGAAGTTGTGAACACAGACGAGAACAAAGAAGACATAGAAAATATACAGGGAAAGAAAGAGGAGGAGAAGCAGAAAGAAGGAAAAAACGGACAAGATGGAAAAAACAGACAAGAAGAGAAAGAGAAGCCGCTGTCGTCGTCGAAAGTAAGTAAAAACATTAATTTTTCTATGCAATAAATGTGGCCAAATTCGATTTTCGTGAAAAGAAATCATTTCTACAATAGTAGCAAATGAATTTACACGATTATTTTTTTTTTTTTTTTTTTTTTAATAATGTTACAATTATAGTACAATTCATTATTATATTTCAGATTAAAAAATTACTGAAGAAAATAGTATATGGCGGCGGCGGTGGCCGTCGAGGAAAATGGGGCGGCCGCCGTGGAGGAAGGGGATGGCGTGGCGGCGGCGGCGGCGGCGGCGACAGGGGACGGGGCGGCGGCAGAGGATGGGGCGGCGGCAGAGGACGGGGCGGCGGCACAGGAGGGCGCAACGTTATTGTCAATTATTATTGAACAATTACAAATAAAAAAAAGTATATGATAAATTAGTACATATCTCTTTATTTCTTATTTCCTTTGTTGCGAATCTCCGGCGAATAATCGCGACGGACCCGCGGGCGAGAATATTCGCGACCAGAAATTCGTACGAGTGCGAGTGAGAAAGCAAGATGACAAAATTGATGTCGTTCCGTGCGACAAAACACAGTCTGTCTCGCAAAGCCATCGGTATCGTCATCTTGCTTTCTGACTCGCACTCGTACGCATTACACCGTCCGCGTGATCAGCTGTCACCGGCGAGCATCGGCCGGCGATTCTTTGTTTTCTATTTATAAACGCGTTTAGAATTAGTGTAAAACTGTTGCATCCTCACTCCCTCTGATTCACCTTCTTGAAATTATTAATGTCCTGCAGTTTTCATTCCTATAACTTTTATGGTCGCGTACGTTATGTGTATTATTTCGTTCTTGCTACCTCTCTTTCGTTCGCGCTGTCCTTCTGTATGTCCGGCAGGAATCAAAATCTTTTCAGTAAATAATAAATACATAAATAGGAACACAAACAGCACATGTATATCGCCTTCTATATCCTTTTGCATATAGAATATGCGAATATTGCGAAATGTGCAAGTTTTATAATTCATTTCTCTGGCATATCTCTATATTTTTCATTGATAAAAAAACATGATTATAAATATGAATAAAAAAGTTTTGTGGTTTGCCACACATTATGTATTGTTTCATTCTGAGACCTCTTTATCGGCTCGAGCTGATTCATTGTGCTGATGATTAGAATTGTAACAGGTGTGAACAGCGTGACAGAAGTTTTAATACGTTGCGGCAACTATGCCTTACTTGTGGCTATATTCGCCTAGCCATTTGTGGTGTCAAATTAGAATTTACATTTATCGACTGATCTGTGTTTTTATCGACCCCGATGATAACGTGGTCAAATATACCATCAATGCCTCTGACGGAGAATCACTGAACTATTCTTATGTCTATTTGACGTCTAATGCGTGCAAATCGTAGATTCCATTTTACGTCTTCCAGAAGTGATAAACTGTGAAAAATCGAATTTCAGTGATATTGTGCTACTTCAAGGGAAGTTGGTCTGCTCTGTTATCAGTGAAAAAACGATTAAATCGTCCAATATTCGCTAAAATGTAGCCGAACGCAGCATTCGGCAGCCATGTTGTTTGCTTACAACAGCGTCTGTCTCAATCGTACAGTTTCCAAAATTCCATTTTTCTCAACGTATGATGTTTATTAGCGTTCAAGCGGACCAGACCGACCTGTAGCGAAGTCTACCCGTGTGTGCTGTACCCGTGAAAATTTTATTTATGCAATTATCGAGACGAAAAATGGAATCTACGAAATCGAGTGTCTCTCTCACACATGGCGTATACGTGCATGCTTTCCGTTGATTGTGTGAGTGCACGCATACAGGTCATGGCACAAGGAGTCTGTGCCCTTAAGTTGGGAAATTTCCAAGTGCGTCGCACTGCTTAACCGCGCGGCGAAGGATGTTTATGGTACCTCTCCCTAAACGGTTTCGACTTTCGAAGTTTTTGTCGCTGCGTAGTTTCGACAAGGCAATCATTCCAAGGAAAGGTTGACTTGTATTATTTGAAAGAACTAAATATAGCCTCCTTTGTGTGCCTCGCCTGGGATTATCTCCAAGTGTTTCGCACTGGCGAGGTACACAAGCTCGGTATATTAACGGTTAAACTATTGAAACTAACAAGAGGAAAGAAAAAAAAGAGAATTATAATTTTAATCTCAAACTCCTTTCTTGTGTTCTCCGTGAGGAATCACTTCCAAGTGCTCACGCACCCGACGGAAAAGCACAAGATCGGAGGAGCGCGAACAGGTAACGATGAGAAGAAATAAATTAGCAAGGCCCTTCCTTGCGCCCCTCACGTGGAAAGTTCCAGATGCAGCGCACCCGATGAGGAACGCAAGGTCGGGTTGAATGAAAATGTACCCGGACGTAACAGTACGAACTCGAAGCGCTAAATAAATACATGCAAGAGAAAATAATGGACAAGACAAAAATCATTTTATTTCGTACAAATAACAGCACTTTGAAAAGTGAAATATATAGTGATTATACAATCGATTTTACCAAACCAAATAATATAGGATCGCTTCTCGGGTTTTCTACATATCGCATATTACCGCCGGGGCAATGGCACGAGTCGTATATACCCGTAAATATTATGAAAGTAAATGTGCTGAGGATCGAATGTAATATTACAACTGGTGCGTATAGCAACG